GAGTGCCGGGCGGGGGCGTTGATTGGGGGCGAAGGACGGGTCTGATGATGTGAGATGGGGCTTGAAATTGAACGGGGTGCGGTAGTGGGTGCGCGGCCCCGAATGTGGCGTGGCTGGGCGCACAAGCGCTTGCAGACGAAGCGGCGATGCAGGCGTCCGGGCGTCGCGTGCTGTGACCTTGTCAGGGCCCTTTGCTGGAGCCATACATACGCTGATGCCACCTCGGTTGCTGACGCTGCGCCACCCGCGTGTTGACGCGACCGCTCGCGCCCCCCTTGGCTGATGGTTCGCCACCCGCTCTGAACGCGCACCTGTTCCGAGCGGCCGCGCCGATGTGCAGGCAGCGCTGAGCACTAGAGAGATCAGGAGGATGTTCGTATGCCTCATGGTGCAAGTTGTGGTCGACGCACCCGCGGTTGCCTGGCGATGTGAAGATTGGAAGGAAGCCTGAGTTCGAGGTACAGCGAGAGCTTTGATTGAAGTGTTCGGAAAGCGAGTGTGTAGGTACAATAAGTGCGCGTGTTCACCTTGTCAAAACGCTGAAGCTCTCACTCTCCCGGAATGCAGTGTCATAACAAATGCCAGCTCTTGGTTGTGTCTGGTGACGCTCTCACACACCCCCAGCACCAGACCCATTTGTATGGGGATCGCAATGATTGAGCGCTTCAACATGTCGAGACCCGTGCCAGCGACCGTTGAGCGCAGCACTCGCCGCTGCGAACCAGGCATGAGTACAAGGTCACCCAGAGATAGCTAATTCTCTCACGTGCCCCTCATCCCTGTCGGCCGTCCCATGCCGATTTCCCACTGCTGAATGTTCTGATCACTAATGACTATCCCTGATGATGTAAGCAGATGCGAGTACGCATGAACGGCATGATGGACGGAACGGACGCGACGACAGCAGTAGACAGCGACCACATTGAGTGTGCCATGAAGGGCACACAGCGGGTGGGGTACTCCTGCCCATATCCCGCTTTGAGCAAAATCAGAAGGCCTAGAGAGAGAGAGAGAGAGAGAGAGAGAGAGAGAGAGAGAGAGAGAGAGAGAGAGAGAGAGAGAG